CCGCAGAAGACACCATAGAGACAGACACCAATGTGGTATGGAAAGCTACAATTACTCATGAAGAAAAGTAACACAATTACTGATGTCATGGTCCACCGCTTTGAAACATAATAACTGTGTCCTTTTTTTGCATGGTCTCTGTGGTCTTGTGATCGTCGGCCTCCTCCCATGTGTCCCCAGGGATGTAATACAGAATTGACAGTATGTGGGAGACCAGAGCTTCACACAGCGTGATTTAATAATGGCGTCTAGCTTACATCTAAGCAGGCATGCAAAGCACAGACGTCAAACAAAGAACAACTAAACATATATTCATGCCCTTGATTCTAAACTGTGCTTTTTTTAATGCTTTTATTGTAAGGAACAATAAACTCACAAACAAGAGGAGGCCATTTCACCCATCTAGCCCATTTAGTAGTTAGTAGCTAATATAGGGTTGGTTTGTTCTGTCCTCCCACCACCCTTTGTGTAAAGATCTGCCTCCTGTTCTGTGTTTTAAGTCTGCTCCCCTGTGGTTTTTCCTAGAGTCCTCTGGTTCGTGTTTCACTGTTGTTTTTGAAGAAGTGAATAGGGCTGACTTTGTCATTGTCCTTCGCGGTTTTATATCACTGAATTGAATAAGCTTTCATTGTTTAATGTGGTCTCATTCTTGGTCTCCCTGAGTCACTGCACCATGCTTTTTTCTTGCACTCTATTTTTGCTTCTGTTGCATAGTGTGACGGGTCTACAGTGTTGTGCAGCATGTGAAAAGCACTCAGAACTAAAATTGAATTCAGCTGTTGAAACATGCGCCACATCTACACTAAATGTCTCCCTGAATTTGATCAGGGTTTATGGGGGGTGTCTTTTCGTTATTTCCCTCAGGGGATGCAAATGAGATCCCCTGAACGTCTGTCGCCTCCCACTTCTATCAACCTGCCCTGCTCTGCATTTCATGAGAAACGACTCCCTTTCAGCTCATCTGCTGTAAGAGCAGCTGTAGGACAATGGTAGGGCCCTGGACGTGTTCGTCTGACACTTGTCATACAGGCAATAGCTGCAGGTAACAGCCTTCTTCTTTCAATTGGATTACTATCGTCGATTTCTGTAATGTGTTCTTGCCCAAAGCCATAAACGCACCAGGGGAGAAGACCGAGGAACTGCGGGTGTGCCAATACAGGTCTCTGCAAAGTCCAGATTTCATCCACTGTGGGGATCACAGATCACTGATCACCGATCCCTCTCCGATCCACGAGCACTGCAGCTGTAAAGCACTGGCTGCCTCAGACAGAGCAAACGGTCTGTTGTCTCTGCAGGACCCGACATACTGATAGATTGAGAATGGCCGTCTCTATTGTTGACCACTCCCAAAATGCATGCGCCCATTGCCTCACCATGTCTGTTGAACTTAAATAATAATAATAATAATAATAATAATAAAAATATTTTATTTAGCGCCTTTAAAGGTGGCTTCTCAAAGCGCTTTACAGAATGACAACAACAATAAATAAAAAGAACACACAAGATAAAACACAATTACAATATAAATCAATCGCTCTGTAAGCAGTAAGCGTTAAAAGCATGCAGAAGCCCATATCTTGTTGAAATACCCTGATGTACACAACACACCAGCCTTGCTTTCCCATTTACATATAGGCATAGTATGAAGCAGTGCAGTGACCTTGGTTAAATTGGGCATTTTGACTACAATACGCATAGATAATCGAAACCAGGCCTGTCACACAAGCGCTAAAGCAGTATTTCGAGCAGCCGTGCTAGGAAGAGCCTGTAACTTCAGGCAGTGCAGGTGGGACCGTTAGCAAGTCCTGCTGTGCATTTGCAGTTCACGCAATTACAGATGTCCCTGTGTTTAGTTTCTCTTTTTATAGTCTGTTGATTTCTAGGTCTGTGTCCCTGCTGCTTGCAGTGTGCACAGGCCCGTCATTTATTTTAAATTCAGACGAAGTGATCTACAGGGCGGTAACTATTTTGAGAAAAGGCTTTGTTCGTAATTTTTGTTTTTAAGTTAGAAAGGAGCCCGGGATGCTACTGAACTGTAGATTTAGTTTCTGGAATTTTCCAGGCGGGCCTAAAAACCTGTCTTTGTTAGACGTCGTGAGACATTTCAATGAATTCCACATGCCGGCCTAGAAAGCTGTATGTGTTCACGTATATGTTCACAAAGAAAGAAAATGCGGGAACTTAAAGCCGTTGTTTGCCTTTATTAAATCGTTTTGTGGGTGCAGAATTTGTTGGCAGGAAATAGGGCTTCAACAGTGTGTTCTGGAGAAAGATTGGTAAGGGGGATATTTGGGAGTGTGACCCTTCATCATCTCCTGGGATTGGGGTTAAGGGCTCTGGGAGCTGAGTGGCTCCATGTACCATCTGTACAAATGCCGGATTTTATTACCTATCTATTGATGCCAGGACCGAGCCCAGGCACAATTATCACTTAAGTGTCTCCAGCAGTAGCACAGGCAACTGGGGAACTGGGGAGGAGGGAAAAGGGGGGTAACCTAGCAACCAAATTGGGCTGGCTTGAGGATGGAGTCCCCCCGTCGCCGGGCAACCGGTCTGGATTGTTAGATGGCACGTGGTGGGTCAGACGGAGGTCGGCGTCGGGGACAAAGGCGCTTATCAGCCGGCACAAGAGGCCCTTGGAGCCGGAGCGAGGGCTTGCCAGGGCAGTGGACAGCTGAGAGCCCGGCGGACTGGACGTTGGACTGGTGCCATGGCAGGGGTGAAAGCGCTTTCCTTCGGTAGGACAGAGAAGGTCAGCCTCGAACAGAAGGCGTTTCCCCGTAAGCGGTCGTGAGCTGCCACCTGGTGCAACCTCAAGAGTATATAAAAGTGTTGTCGAGGGTCCCTGGAAGAAAACAAGAGTTTCTTTTACGTGGCCTGGTGCACAGTGACACGGACACTGAGGGAGAGGGTACGCCTGTTGGCACTTTGATGCCGCGCCCAGAGGCTGATGGGAAAAGGATTCCGCCCACATGAGAACTCACGCTGCGGGTTTTTTTGCTATCCCTCTGCTCTCCCATCAGCCTCCTCTGCACACCAGTTCCTGTCTGAAGGACACGGAGGAGGACCTGAAGTTAAAAAAAATGGAACGTTACGGAGAATAGATTGGCGACTGTGTTTAACATCGTCTTTGTAACCCATGATTTCTGGGCTTTTTTTAGTGGCTTCGGTCATGCTTTTCTGTTTTCAAGAAACGCTGGTTTTCCCAGCCTCGTTTCAGTTCCCCCTTCCCTTCTCTTTTTGGATACACTTTTTTTTTTTAATAAAAAAGTTATTTATATCGAAACGCTAGGGGGATCTGAGAGGGATGCTGTTGAGGGAATTAGATATTTGGGTGAGATTCGCCTCCCTCACAGTTACCAAAAGAGGCATGACCTCATCTGTGCGTTTTTTTTATTCCTTTGAATGTAAAAAAAACAAACCCAAACCGTTTTTAACTTGATAGCGTTTGAAACTCTTCCACGAATATGTACAGGGGAGAGATTAGCGTCTGGTGCGTTAAAAACATCATCATGTATTTCAGTTCTGCCCCACAGAGTGAGTCAATCACGGTTTTTGATTCAGCACACAGCAAGCATCGCTGCAGTAGTGCATTTCCAATAAACATGTCATATTAGCCAGAATCCGACCCAGTCAGGTGCTGACCCAGTGGGTTTCGAATGTGGAAGATGGGCTTTCAGCCTTTCACACTACAGCGGGCGTTTGGTGTGTGCTGTCTGGCGTCTCTATCTGATTAATGGTTCCTGTAACAAATGTCTTTTTGAGGGTTGGTTCATGCGCTGATCTTTTTTTAGACTGCGGTTCTCCTACAGCCTTGCCGCCTACCGTTTGAATCGCTGATACTTAGCGTCCTCTTGTGCTCTCTGGGTAACCAGGCGCCTCCGCTCTGACCAGCGCAGACAGACTCTCTGTTCATGCCCCCAGCTGTGGCTTTGAAACGGCTGGTTTCCTTGGGGATAAGCATCAGGACCAGCTGAAGTCACGCAAAAAGTGATTTCGAAGTTGCGCGCGGTTAACAAGAGGTACCACGCGTACGTCTGCCGGTGTGACATCTGCAAGCCTCACCGAAATGCACCACAGAAAAAAAAAACTAGGCTGGGCTATTTCATTTATTCAAAATGATTTGCTTCAAAGGTCGAGATGAACTCCCGAGTTGTTGATTTCGCAGTAAGGCGACGCCCAGGGCTCGTTCCTCGCTGTAAAATTCAGTCTGGTGCGCATCCTCTGCGTGCCGGGTGTAAACTGCTACTGTCCCAGGCCTCCACCACGGGAGACTAGTTCATCAGGAGCTCATAAACATATATAACACGTATGGCAATGATATAATACAGCAACTGCACAATACCGTCACACAAAACAACATTCAGCAACATCGCTCAATCAGAACTCTTCCAGGACCATAAGATTAAAAAAAAAAACACCGCTTGTAAGGAGTCTGTTCCACGATCGGATGCTTTTAGGTATGAAGGAAGTAATTGCTCTCTTAAGTCTTGTGCTGTTGCGCTCAGATCTCCTTCCTCCCCAGGGGGAGCAGGAGAGTCTGTTCTAGAAGGAGTGGATGAGAGGGGGTCATTTTAAGATCTTATGTGCGAGATTAAGGAAGTGCCGCTTCGTTAGACGTGTTATTGAGCCCATGGATGCGCCGGTTAATTTCGCCACCAATCCCGATCACGTATATATCGGCGCTTATATCGATCACATCATAAGGCGCTTGTATCCCCCCCTGGTGTAATAAAACATGGGCACTGTGTTCATGGCGCTGGGGTGGAACAGTGCTCTAGAAATCGGGTGATGAAGACATGCAGGTTTATTCAAATTCTCCCAACACGTCTTTTTTTTTTTTTACTTCAGCAAGCACACCTTTCTTTCTTCCGGTGTGTCTTGTTGTCCTTTTTTTAGTGCTGGATCGACTGTTAGGTCGACCGCGAATAAAACAGGAGCGCAGGGCTCTCCTCCCTCTGCGAGCGAGCGGACGGTGTGGAATTAGTTTCGCGTCCCTTATTATTTTTTTTTACCGAGGCAGGAAAAGGGAGTGGACTCGAGTCACTGGGGAGCTGGAATTTCCTCTCCCCGTCCAATGAGGGAGAGGCTCTGGCGAGCTTGTGTATTTTCCAATCTCAACGGAACGGGGAGGGGCAGACAAGAAAGAGGGAGAGGGCAGGCAAGCTGAGAGTCTCAGCTGAACTGCAACGTGGGCGAGAGACCGGGCAGCTCAAACCGAGAGAGATCAGGCGAGAAAGAGAGCAGCGTTCGCGGTCGGTGGCAAAAAAAAACCCACACACGCACACAACGAAAGAGCCGATAGATTTCCCGAGTCGCCGTCAGAACAGGATAAAAAACAAGCAAGGAAAAGAGCAGGCAGGGAAACCCGTGGCGAGTATACAGCAGGAGCTGTCGCGGCCGGCGTTGCAACAGAACTTTGCATTGAACTAAGGGAGAGGCTCGCTCCGTGCACTTTTTTGGGGGGTCTTTTTTGGGGGGGAGGAACGAAACGAGCATAGCCTAGTCGTTGTCGGGCGGCGGCGGCGGCGGCGGCGGCGATGCGGGACGGGTCCGGCGAGGAGCAGCAGCCGCAGCAGCCGCAGCAGCTGACCGCTTCCTTCGAGATGACCTGGGGCAGCACGGCCAGCAGCGGCTACTGCAGCCAGGAGGACTCGGACTCCGAGCTCGAGCAGTACTTCACCGCGCGCACGTCCTTCGCGCGGAAGCCCCGCAGGGAGAAGGTGAGCCCTCGCGCTGCTCGAGCGGCACTTCCGCGTCGCGGTTTCTCATTCTGCAGCACATGGGGGGAAAATAAAATAAATACAAGTTCTGATCCTGACACCTCCTCCCCCCTTCATTTTTTTGTTGTGTGAATATCATTGATGAGGTTTTCTTTGAAATTCAGGACCCCCTCTCTTTGCTGTTGGCATTTTTAATGTATTTCTTTTTTTTAAAAAAAAAACAAAAAGGGCGAAAGCGTTGGGTATCCGTTTTGTCTGGGGTTCGTCCCTAATTCTGTTTCGTGCGTCACCGTTCGCTCTCGTATTTCCTGGGCTTTGAAAAGTACACTTAACTGCAATTGCCTTAAAGCAAACGATTACGTCAGCTAGTTTTCAGAGCAGGGTGAAAGTCCCGGAGAGCTTCATTGGGCTGGTTGTTGTTGTTGTTGTAAAGTAAACTCATGGACTGTTGGATTACAGCAACTAGATTTTAGTTTTGCTGTTTTTTTTTTTGTGTCAAAATGAAACACGATTGCTGCTTCTCAGTAATATGTCATGTGGTACAGAAAGGTGGTGCGTTCTTTTATTTCTGGTTTTCCTGGCCTGAAAGAGAAGGAGAATTGTATATGCGCCGTTAATGACCGGGTAGTTGAGAGTGTGTGTGGGGGGGGTGACAAACTTTTTCTGTCGGTCCCAGACTGTAAATCCCTGTCCTAGGTGACGCATTCATCCCTAATCGTGATCGTGCAGCTCTTGAGTCATCCAGCAGGATCGCCCGGCGAGGTATACGGTTCTCAAGCCATATGGGTCGTCTGGCGCGGTGGACGAAGTCCATGCACGCACGTTGTCTGTTTCTCGGGGATGTGGACACGGGGCTTCGCAACGTGGCCTGCCTCGCTTTCAGATGAACACTTAGCTGGCTGCTGTGCATTTAACACCGGGGCCTTTCGCACAAAAGGCAAACCGACCCCTAGAAAGGATGAGATGCCTCGGACGGTCGAGCACGGCAGGCACTCGTGCGCCCCTCGCTGTTGCCAACACACAGTGTCCCAACCTTTTCTGCGTGAGCCGCTGACTGATCAGCTTCAGTGATCAGCCGGTCTCTGCTTACCTTCGCTTGCGAGGATTAGCTTCTGTGCAGAACGGATCAAAACCTTTTTGACACCTAGAAATGCACAAGTGCGCGAGTGCGGATTGCAGTTGCCCTGGACTGGATTCTTCGCGTATTATTATTATTATTATTATTATTAATAATAATAATCTCATCATTATTTTGGAAAGGCTGTCGGTGCCCGTCTGGGTCAGGCCGACCGCTGTGTGTGTGTGTTAATGTGTTAAACTGGGTGGTGCTGGTTAAGAGACTCATTTCGGGGACTGTATGTGTGAGACTGAGCGTGCGGTGTGACAGACGACTCAAGTGACGGCCCTGTCTCGGATGAGTCCCTGGGGGAGGAGGAGGAGGAGGAGGGGGGTGTGTTAGTACAGGGAAGCTCCCAGTCCGGCAGTTTTTCTGCAAAAACTAAAACGGGCCTCTCGCTGCCTCTCAAACACAGCGGAGCTTGTCCTGCCTTCTAAGGTGAAGACGGAGTCTGCCAAGCTCTCCTGCTGCCAGTGGTGGTGTGGCCTGTGTTGGGCTGGGCGGGGGGTGCCCTGCTCGTCCTGAGCTGCTGGAATAGAAACGCCGCAGCACCTCGCTGAAAGTGAGCGTTTTTTTTTCCATGTGCTTTTCAGGTGCTGGCGCATCAGCGGCGCGGTGTCTCTTGCAGGTTAATTTGGGGTTCGCGTGGCAGTCGGTGACGGGTCCCGGTGGGGTTACAGGGGATTCAGGAGAGTCCTTGGAGTACATTCGGGGCTGTCGGGCGTGCAGATCAACCAGCTTTTCAAAGAAGCAGCGAGTCGTAGATGCTCTTCAGATCGTGCCCTTTTCTCAGAAGCGCATCTGGAGGGCAGAGGTTAAAGTGGGCTTTCCTGAGGCCTCATCGCAGAAAAATTCACTGACAAATGTTTTTGCTCTCCGGTGATGTCTCCTAAACGCACTGCAAGCGTGTGAGTTTCGCTGTGTTTACGTCAATCCGCAGCCTGTCTTGTTGAAGCCTTTGCTGCAGAGTGCTGGTCACACAAGCTGATGGGCTCATCAAGACCCGCTGGCTTCGTGATTGACTATTGATCTGTTGCCACTGTGGTGTTGATTGCTCTGTAATTGCAGAGGCGTTCTGGTTACCTCCAGCAGGAGGACGGAGGTGGCTGAGTCCAGCGAGTCTGGGTGTGATTCCAGCCATGTTCCCAGTGCGTCAGTCTAGGCTGTTGTTTGAAATAAATCCATTAGCATGAGAGGCTGGCAAAAGCAGGCTGTCCTGGGAGCTGCCTTTGTGTATGGGGCTCGGCAATGTGCTTCCTGCTTTCCCTTTCCTTTAGGAAGCTCTGCTCCCACACCCTCGTCTCCCCCTTCACAAGCCTGTGCTGTTTCTCCCTAGAGCTCTGTGCAGGGGGCTGCACACCCGTGTCTCCTCTCTCTGTCCTTATCCAGCGTCCACACACCCGTGTCTCCTCTCTCTGTCCTTGTCCAGCGTCCACACACCCGTGTCTCCTCTCTCTGTCCTTGTCCAGCGTCCACACACCCGTGTCTCCTCTCTCTCTCCTTGTCCAGCGTCCACACACCCGTGTCTCCTCTCTCTCTGTCCTTGTCCAGCGACTTCAAGCAGGAGGGATTTGTTACACAGTTAAACTGGTTCCTTCATCCTTTCGGGTCTGAACGCTTCAAAGACGCAGTGTGGTTGGTGTAAATGTCCCTGAAAAGAAAAGCCATTGAAATCAAAGTGTGTAAAAAAAAAAAAAAAAACAATTCAGGGGGACTTCTTTCAAGTCACTTCTGACCTTTTTTTATTTCTTCTAAAGCTGCCGTCCTGTTCAGTAGCACTTGCATCAACACCGCTTGCCCACTCTTGCGCTTCAGAAACCCTCCCTGGGCTGGCGCTGTTCTTCCGTGGCATGAAGCGACACCCGAAACAAGTCCTTGTCCGCCCCCTTCACCTCCAGCCTGCCGCTCTGCCAGTGTGTGTTTCAGGGCCTCAGCGCTGTCATTTCCACATCTAGACGTGAGCTCAGTGACTAAACCAAGGAGTCGGCCCACAGCTCAGAGAGTTCAGCTCTGTGAATTGTTAGTCACTCTCTGGGGGTGGTTTCCTTGCCTTGTTTTTCATCTTTACGTATCTTTTGTGCAAGATGTTTACACTTATGTGTGTTTCCGCTGCAGAATTGCAATACGAATGCCGAGAAGTGAACTATCGGCGAAGGCAACCTGTCTATAAAGTTTCTTAAATGACTCTGGACACAATGGGGGGGAAAAATAAGTTACATTTAAATGAGCTTTTTTTATTTTTGCACTGAAGCTGTGTAACACAGCCCTCAACAGCTGCTGGAGTTCGCTGGGTTTGATTTTATTTCCCCCTAATGAAACTGCATGTGTTCAGGTCAGTGCTGTTTCCACTTTTTCTGTTATTATATATTTCCTCTCGAAACGAAATGACGGGAGGGAAAAGGGAGCGGTTGGATTATTATTCCTAAGCTTTTGTGCCTTGGAAGAGATCCGAGACGGAAATCTAGGACCCGCTGCGCGTCCGGCTAGCGGTTTCCGGTCCGAGCAGGACAGAGAAGGGGCGGGGCCGTGTGTGCAGGACCCAGGGGTCAGGGGTCGTCAAGTGCTTCCTCCCAGCTGTTCCTCAG